CCGAGCGCCTGGAAGCGGTGCCAATTTGGCGAAGGAACGGCTTGACATGACGATCTGAAGGCGGTGCTTGCGAGCCGTCTAGGAGGGCCGCGACCGCGTGGTGCGCCGGCACCGCGTAGCGCGCAGTGAAGAGGCCGCGCAGCTCCTGCCAAGATGCCACCATGGATTCGGGGAGGTTGAGTAGCCAGGCGCGCGGTGCGCCGGTGAGGGCCATGGGAAGCCAGTTGGCCACGACCTTATCGTCTCCCCTGGCCTTGAGGACGTCCTCCTCATACGCTAGCAGAAAAGCCGACGGGTCCGCCGCGCCGTCATAGCGCGGTGGCATCTCCGGTTTGAACTTGGGCGACCACTGCACCTGCCGTAGGGCGGGGGCCAAGGCTAGGAGCCCCCTAGCCCCGCCGTTGGCACCGGTCGCCGGAGCCGGGAGCGAGACGCCTGCCACGAGGGCGAAGCGAGGTGGCGGCGGAGCATAGGTCGACGAAAGGAAAGCTACGACGCACCCCTACCTGGCGCGCCAAATGTTGGATCTCGGGTTCCGGCAAAATCCTCAAGGTTCGAACACCGGGGTGCGCGTGAAGATCTCCCCCTACCGATCCACGTCCTAGCTTCGCTAAGATCTCAAGGGTTAACTCGACGAACTCGCAACACAAAGAACACAAGATTTATACTGGTTCGGGCTGAGGATACCCTACTCAAGTGTGGTGTAATACCCTACTCAAGTGTGGTGTGGTGGATTGCCTCTTGGGCTGAGGATGAACAGTACAAGGGGAAGAACAACCTCCTGAGGAGAGGTGTTCTTGTGCTTGGTGAACTTGTGATTGTTCGGATCTCATTCCCTAGCTATGGTGGTGGCTAGTCCTATTTATAGAGGCCCTGGTCCTCTCCCCAAATATTGAGCGGGAAGGGAGACGACAACGGTCAATTTGAAAGGGGACAACTAGTACAACTTATCCTGACAAAAGCAGTCTTCGCCTACAAAAGGCTCTGGTGGTGACGCCGCCTTGGGCTCCATGGTGACCTCCGTCTTGCCATCTTGCTGGTCTTGGTCTCGTTGCACTGATATGGAAACCTTTGCTTGATGCCTCGGTACTCCGTGTCTGTGCTTGCTTCCTTAGCACCAAAGAGGAAACAAGGACACCATGCGCGCTGGCGCCCGCCTGATCTTAATCGTCATGGCTCACGTCATTGAAACCTCGCGAGGTTTGCCTTGCCTTGAACTCTCCGCCCCTCGCGAGCCAGCTTGGTGAGGGCGCTCCCGAGGAGGTCTTGTGTCGTCCGCCTCGCGAGGCTTGGCCCCTCGCGAGGGTCTTGGGTGCTTGTTGGTGAAGATGGGCCATTCGGGCCCGCTCGTAGAGCCACGCCGTAGGCCGCAGGCAGGCAAGTCTGGGGGGCCCCTTTCCAGAACACCGACAACCAGGCATGTGAAAGCTTGCACTGCCATACTTGAAATAGTGACTTCATAAAATCTTGGGATTTGGTTCTATTTTTTTTGACATGGTGATACGTCTCCAACGCATCTATAATTTTTTAATTGTCCAATGCTATTATATTATCTGTTTTGGATGTTTTATATGCTAGTTTATATTATTTTTGGGACTAACTTATTAATCTAGAGCCCAGTATCAGTTTCTGTTTTTTTCCTTATTTTTGAGTTTGGTAGAAAAGGAATATCAAACGGACTCCAAACGGAATATCTGTTTTGCATGTTTTATATGCTATTTTATATTATTTTTGGGACTAACTTATTAATCTAGAGCCCAGTGCCAGTTTCTGTTTTGTCCCTGTTTTTGAGTTTCACAGAAAAGGAATATTAAACGGACTCCAAACGGAATATCTGTTTTGGATGTTTTATATGCTATTTTATATTATTTTTGGGACTAACTTATTAATCTAGAGCCTAGTGCCAGTTTCTGTTTTGTCCTTATTTTTGAGTTTTACAGAAAAGGAATATCAAACGGAGTCCAAACAAAATAAAACTTTCGTGATGATTTTTCTTGGACCAGAAGATATCCAA